GAAATTTTGCAGCCTTTATTCTAGAAGTCTTTCATAACTCCTTAAAGATACACGCATAAATTACCATCTTCATCCAACAACTCAAAGCTCCTACTTAGACTCAATTTAAGAGATCATTTCCCTTTCTCTTCACCCTCTAACAGCCGTGGTTATGCAAATGTCTGTACGAGACCAGTGGAGAGGCTGGCCGTAGAGAGGAGAACAGCCTACTTATCTGTTAAAACCCAAAGGAGGTTGATTGTTTGTTTGGTTGACTGAATGGAGTGCACATAATAGTATATGACTACAATCTAATTTAAGCAAAAAAAAGCTGTTTAAAGCCGTCTTTAAGTCATCGACGGAGCTGCACGGCCACGAGTGAAAACTAAAGATTGAATTAATGAGAATGCCTTACCCACATTTAAATGAAATTATGGCCATTAAAAAATTTCTGTGCAGCTCAGAAAAGCTTCATCTGCTAACTCTGAGCACACCAGATGTTGGTTGTTTGTGAGACAATGCAACAGTTATCATTGCACAATATAGTAGCAGCTCCACAGAATATATAGCTGTCTGTTTTACACACACACACTGAGTCTCCACATTCTCTTCTTCCTCTCTATGCCTGCCTCTCTCTCCTCCACTCTCTCAGTGCCTGGTAGTCCATCTCCCTACTGTGGGGCGGTAATGAGTGTCTGCTAGTCCTCTCTTCAGCATTGATGCCCTATTCATGCTCAATCTCCTTTACAATGCACTAAAAGGATTACCCAATTAGCTGCTAGTAGGAGCCGTTGTGTATGTATGCCTGTGTGAGTGTGAGTGTGTGTGAGCCTGCCTGGGGTTAGTATGAGGAGCGAATGATAGATGGATGGTTGTCTGTACCCTGTACCTGACTCCCACTTGATGTTTGGCTGGAGGCCACATTACTCATCAACAGTCATTCTTTGTGTGTCTGTGTTTCAGTTTGTCTGTGTATGTGTGTTTGTTTTTCCTTGTAATTGTTCCAAACACTTAATTAGAATGGTTTCGGACATTCACCCAAATTCACATTTTTAACGTGTGAAATTTGAGAGACACAGTCTAATCACAACCTGCATACATATGTGTGTGTGTCTGTGTGTGTCTGTGTGTCTGTCTGTGAGGTAGACAGGCATTGTCAATTTTACAGACATCACAGCATTTTTCCTCTGTGCTGTGTGACGTTTTGTCTTATTCTGACTAATATTTTAAAGTAAACCACTGAAACGTACTGTCCTTCAGTTGCGTCTCACTCTGAGCAACTCCTGTCTTTGGTAAATTCCCTAATTTACCACTATTTATAGATATCTTACATGTTGTTACATTTCTGTTCAGTGTAATTCTGCTGTGAAATAACATTATTTATTAGAACCTGGGGGTATTCCTAAGAAAGCTTTTGCTCTTTTATAGATTTTATTTTTTTGTCAACTACTCCACAGGAAGAAGAACCTGTACTATCACTTTGGTAGATTTGGTGGATTACAGACATACATCTTTGGTGCTCATCAGGGATGAGCTTTGGTACAGCTGGACAGGTTTTCTTTTGACTTTTAAAAAAATAAAAATAAATTCAAATTGAATAATTGAAACCTCTAAATTTACTGTGGTGAGGTAGGAATATTTCATAATTGACAATCTGTATTCTAAGACATGAAGCCTTAAACAGAAAACTCCTTAATACACTGCTTATAGATGCATTGTGATCAGGTATAATCATATGGTATTATCATCACATGTGTTCACATAAAGGGCTTCCCCATGTCCAATCCCAGCTAAACAACTTTCCCTGAAGCCTGCAGTAATAATACCTTATATTATCATTCAATGCAATAAAACTGTAATACATTCAAAGTACATACAATGGAACATCAAAGTGTAGCTGGAACAGTATTTGAATCAGGGTCTCACTGTCACTATTTATTTATTTCACCTATTGTTTTACAGACGTTTAAGAAGTTTGGTGCATACATTTAATAATAATACTATGCATGTGCTTGTACACAAACAAAGAACGTCAATCTGCCCACGACTGACCTAAAAAAACACAAGAGAGTAGACTGGATGGATTACACTTACATCTGTTAGACATTAACATATAGACAGTGGGAATTAAAGCCATGCCATCTGGCAGCGTGGACATGCTGTGATACAGTGAGAAAACCAGACAGTTTCATGGTCATTGTGAAACAGGTATAAATCCTGCATCTTTATAGCACGTCACTGGCTAACACTGGCTGCACTAATGGATTGGCTACGGCTCTGCAACTCTGCATCTACATCTAAAAACTAGACTGTGCAAGAGGTGGAGGTGGCGGTGGACAGGGAGGTGGGCGGGGCAGTGGG